TGTTGACTGATAGAACTTCTGAGATTATCCTAACCACCGTCTAATATTCAGTAAAAGTTACCACATTTCCTATGTTGTGTCGAGTACAGAACCTTGATAATGTATATTGCTTTACTCTAAAAGTTTTGGAGATTGACAGAACAAGTACACTACCTATTTATAAGTGAATAGATCAATTACAAAATGAAATTTCTGCATAAAGATAACATGGTTCCCTCTTGAACCTAAGCAAAAATGGTTATATATTGCTTCCAAGTTACATGGGGACTCTGACTCTATATCTTATATAACGTTTATACTTGAGTATATCTCTTTCAAGTGTCTAGACTTCATTATCACCAACACTCAGCATGATTAGGTTTAAAATAGTTTTGTTATTAGGGACATTCAGGCTACAACCGCGAAGACCTTTGTTTTATTTGACTTTCTGTGATAATTAGGAGTATTTGAATTACAGTACAAACTAGGATTCCCAAAAATAACGCAACTTAACCAAGAAGTAATAGATGAGCACGAACAAACGTACTGTATTTGGAATTCGAAATCAAGCAGTCCACAAGTACAAAGAAATCATTAGTTCATACAAACACCACACTTTCATTTTCTCCGATGGAAATAGCACTGAAATCTGAAATTAGAATGTGTGGAACATCTTCCCATGTTCCACAATATGACATTAACATGCCAATCCCCGATGAAGACTCTAAGTTCAGATAATCGTCACAATAGTGAACGCATGTTGAAATATATAGTTTTCAGTTAATAAGTATTTCGTAATCTCATTCACTGTCCATGGTTGTTAATCAAATAAATTCTTTATGATTTTGGATATCGGACTTTTGATTTATCAGTAATCATGTTGTTACACTGATTCTGACAAAGGTAACATACTTAGTGATAGTTCTTTCTGATAGTTGATCCTCCACTAAACGAATGATTAGAAGTAGAGTTAAATAGTTAAATAATAGGTGATGAATTTCTAGGAAATTCAGAATAGTTACAACTCTAAATTACACCTACGTCATTTTAGATCGGTACTGTTAGCGATAGAATAGTTTTATGTTGTTTAAATGAATAGTTTAAATGAATACTTGGCTGGAGTCTGAAATTTTGAATATCAAACGTTATTTGGAAGGCACTGTTAGGACTTCCATTTAATTTGAAGATGAGTGAATTTTCTTTAGATTTGATCGTTTTATAAGTTTTCATAAGCGATAATGGATAAAAGTTGACTGATAAATTTCACATCTCTAAGGAAGGTTTAAACTACAGAGCAGAAAATATTTCCAATATTTCATTTTAATTTACGAATTATGTAGTATATAAGCAGGAAAGTAGTCTCTTCAAACTCCTTTGAATAATAATGTTCAGCTAACAAACTCCTACAGTTTAACTTTTAATAACACTAGTGGTATTATTTATTCAAACCACCAATCTCATCCTCTTTACTCTATTTATCTAGAAATATAATATACCAAGTGTTGTGCCATTTTTTTCCAATTGATCTACGTAAAACTTAGGAACATAATCCGACAGGTTGGTTAGTATTTGAGTGATTGCAGATTAATAGTCACTTACTTACGCCTGTTACTCCTTTGCAGAGCATAGGCCACCGACCAAGAATCCTCAACCTATTCTGTCCTAGGCTCTCCTTCACATTTGTTCCCAAGCTCTATACACTCTTTTCATGCTTGTCTTTGATTCTCCGCTCAACATATCCCTTGGTCTTCACCTTTTACCTTGAGGATTCTAAGTCGTGGCTTGCCTCGTGATGATTTCCAATAAGTCTGACCTATCCACCTCAGCTATTGAAAACCTAGAACTGAACGACCCTTTCATCCTAGTATGGGACTTCTTAGCAGCATGCATCCACGCCCCCGCCACAATGAATCGAACCCAGGAACTTCGGTCCTGCTTTCGAAGATCTAATTTCTAGACCACTGAATAGAAAAGTGTTTATATATATATATATATATATATATATATATATATATATATATATCGATGATTTGATGCGGTTGTGAAATAGAACCTTATTCAAATACAGATACTTTTTGTCTAGAATTTACTTCATTTTAGCATGAAACATATTTATTTTGTAGTTTCCACACTGTGCAAACATGTGAATAAATTGTTAAAAATCGAGTATTACTCATTAACGCTAAGATATCGCGACTACTCGTCTAATATAGTAGTATATTATGTATATGATAAAATCCTACGAGTTCATATTGTAAAGGGTATTAACATTATAGAACAATTATCTTGACAGATTATCTTTGTAGTTGACATTTTTGCATACAGATAGGCATTTAGTGTGAAGATATTTCTGGATGACCAGTAGTTTCCCATGTTCTTTTAAATAGAAAGAGTTCGTTTAATCGGGGGATAGATAGTCGCATAACTAGATTTTTCGTTCTCGTGAAAACATAAGAAACATTTCGATAAAGGATCCCAAAGAGCTACACCGATATGACTGTACCTTTTGCAAAGTTTTAACTTGTGGTAAACTTCACTTCCAAAAGTCTTGTGTATTTTGTTTCGATACTGGGAATTACCGTGAACAAACTTCCAAAACGAGGATTTTGTGAAGTGCTAAATGGAGACGACAGTTCTTCATAGATACCTTGAGTTAGTAGTGGATGAAATGGAACCGTCAGTACAACGTTTCGTAGATTTGAAAAGCATTGAAGTAGAGTTATCTTTGTCAGCTTCCAAAGAAGATTCTGACTCTTTACTTAAGGATTTGATGACTGCATTTTCTAATCTCAATAGAGGGATGAAAATCCAGCCTGTAGAACTTCAGTTACAGAGAAATCTAGTCATTCTAAAAAAACGAATAATCGGTTGTGATTTTCGACAAGCAGTACACAATGCATTGAATGCTTTGGGTGATAAAAGAATAACTGAATCAGTTCAATTTTCATCTTTGTGTACTTCTATTGTTACGCCTTTGAAGTATGATGGTAAAACCCCTAGAATATACGGTGATTACAGATTAAAGTTGAATTGCCGTTTGGTGAAGCAAGCGTGAACCACGGCTTATACTGAAGATGATCTTGACTGACTTGACGATTCTAAAGTTGGTTTAAAAGATGGCTTTATTCAGATTCCTTAGATAAATCTGCACCATTTTTGACAAGGATTAATATACCATTGAATTGATTCAAATACATTTACCTTCCATTTAATTTATGTTGTTCTACATTTATTTTTCAATAAATGGTGAATAGTATAATATCCATAACAGATTTACTAGAAACATTCAACGTGCAGACTAAATATCTTGACAGTCATTATGAGATTAACTTGTGGATACTTCTAACTATGTACTAGTGCAGTCTTTACTGGTAAACTGTTTATAATTGCTTACTGAAACCCATTGATACTTTGGATGCATTTTAAGTGCTACACGAGAAGATTAAAATGCAGTTATATGTCTCACAACAATTTTGAAAGATGTCATAAATCGAAAAATCAACCTTTAAGGTGGACCCCATGGTCGGTCTTCTGAGGCCTGGGAGATAATTAATTCAGATTATAGCGGTCTATTCTTCAGAAAATAATATCAACTTATTATCATTAATTCTTCTTTAATTGCCCTGAAGTGGTTTTCATGACTTCCCCAAACATTGAGGAAAATATTTAGACAGGAAGGCTTCTGTATGGTAATGGCTCACATTTCACTGAAGATGCGGTTACTACACCGTTGAATAGTATAGGGTGCAAACATCTATTCACTGCTCCTGGGCGCTCTTGTTCTAATATTCGGGTAGAAAAGTTCGTCAAGTCGTTGAAGACTGTTATTAATTTTATTGCTGCTACAATGTCTGATGAACTGGAGAGGAAAGTGAGCACATTTCTGATACACTATAGAAGTGCTAAGCACTCTGTAACAGAATAGATTCCAACTAAACTAATTAAAAGACGGGTTTTTCACTTAAATGTAGGATGCTCAGGGTCTACAGAAGTTACATATTATTGTGGGGACTATTTTTGGCCATCTATAAGGATTCTAGCAAACAATATTAGAAAATTTATGATGCGAATTCTAGATGGCGATTTAAATTGGCACAACCAACATTTAGACGTAGTACGACTCCAGGAACTAGGTATTTCTAGTCCAATTTCCGTCGTTAGTCCTAATTCATATATTATAGATAATACGAAATCCGTATCCTGTACAGAGTCGGACAGACATCAAATGAACCTACGGAAAAGACGTGTAATAAACGACAAAAATCCGGATCTTTGCTAAAGCTGTGACGAATGTGGTGTTTGCGCTAGTTGGTAATTGCTTTGTTTATCATTACGCAACTAATTCCAATCCCAAACAAAATACCTTCAAGTCTGTCCATTGTATTCTTTCTGGCTTGAATACTGGTTCATTTGTAACTACTAGACTACGTACTAAACAGTTCTGGGAATTACTAACAAATATATCAAATCCAATTATCCTGATTTTCATATGTAAATGGTAAGTTACCACTTGAGATGAAATCTTTAATAAAAAAAATTCAACTCTAATATGCACTACTCACTCAGCAATGGAACAAAAAAGATGCCTAAATGTATTGGATACATACTTAACGAACATGGAAAACAATGCGGATAACCTCAGCCTATAGACCTCATGTCCATACGGGTTACTTTATTGTCTGATATGGTGAGTAACATGTAACCCTAATGACTGAACCTCGAAATTGTCACTACAAGTCTTCATTATCAGATTGTCTTAATCTCACGCCTTTATTATTGCTCACTGTTATCGACTTTTTGAATTTAAGTGTATCTTATATGTGTACTGAGTCATTACTTACTTTTTCTACTGTTCACCTGTTTCCCTGAATTCCTTGCACTCATTGTTCTACAAATCCGTGGGGACTCAACATATCTTCAGTCTAGATATGAACCGTTACAAATTTATATCTCATGAAGGGATTTACTCTTAGAGCGATTCCAGACATCCGATCGATTTGAACATAAAAGATATACACACATACACAAAACTTCTCTTATGGTATTGAGTAGTAATTTCAATTAAAAATTATGACTAGTATTGAGAATAATAATCAAAATTTAAAGTAATTAACACTAGAACTTGGAGGATACTTCTCTGTAAAATGTACCAAGAGAAACATGGAACAGTTTTGTTTTTAAGTTTCTATGCCAAAAATTGCTTCGTCTGTTGTCAACATTCATTAGTCACGACTATATTCATCAATAAAATTTAATATCTTTAATAATTCTTTATAATCTTCAGTGAAAAGCCTATATGATTCAGGTGATTGTTGAATATATTCTACTGTATTCGACGTATAATTATGAATATGTATTTTATTCCAATCCTCCGGTTCCATTGAACTGGTTGTATCAATTAAAATCAACCTTCTTAATAGATACTTACAAAATTTACAAAATATTCGATATATAATTACGACTTTTCCCAATATAATAATTGTGAGAATAGTGTAGAAAAATGTATTAAATATAAGTGTACTTAAATCCCATGATTGCGATCGAACCATTGGTATTATGGGTAATGTTGGCTAAATGAAAAAAAAAAACAGAAAGAGTAGTTTGAATTAATGAAAACTCTTACCTCAGATAAATTCTTTCGATGTTGTGTTCTCTAAGCTAGATGGTTTTGTTGTGAAGCTTATATTCTCATTCTAGACAACATTGTCAGCGCTTACTTCATGTAGAAGTGAACTTTTTAATTATTCCACGAGTTTTAAATCAGTTTGTTCTGTTAGAGTTGAGTGTGAGCGGTTATCCTCATAGGTTTCATTATCATCAACTGCCTTGTATTCAAGGTGACTATTTTATTTTGTTAACCTTCGATCAGATTATTTCTGGGCCTTTTCCGAATGGGTTGATAGGTCGGATTTGACTGTTGACTGATTTGAATTTCATACTTCTATAAATTCTCACTTCTACATAGAGTGATGATAATGTTGTCCAGAACGACAATGAAAGCTCAGCAATTAAACGATATAACTCGGAAAACTTAACAACATCTAAAGAAAAAATTATAGGGACAAAAATCAGTAAAAAAACAAACTGAATAAATAGTCTGTTATTATCCACAAGTGTTTGTTATGAATATGCCCAGTCTAGGGTAGCCTGATATCCTGAATGGAGAACACAAATATATACTATAAGTAAGGGCTTGGAGTACAATCTTTACCGAAAATTCCACTTCAGAATACAATCTTACATACAATAAAATGTGACTGAAATTTCTGGATGCAATTCAATTAATGAATATAAAAAGGGTTTGGAATTAAACTCAGTTATTAAAAGTACAAATAATTTATTTGAACTCCATATAAATAGTTAAGGTTTTGTTGGAAAGATAAATTAAAAATTTATGATGTTAAATTACTAATACTTGTTATCAGAAGGGGTTAGTGGAGATTTTAGAAATTTCACTGATTGAAATCATGAGTCAATTGAAGCTAGACCACCATGGAAATCCTGGAAGCAATGGACGGCCGTTTCGTCCTAGTATGGGACTCCTCGGCAGTGTGCATCCACGATCCCGCAACCCCCAAGATTCGAACCCAGGACCTATCAGTTTCGCACCAGGCGCTTAACCAACTAGACCACTGAGCCGGCATCCAATGGTGTTAATGTCTAACTTCAACCAATCCACGAAGTTGCGCCACCGTACACCATTGTCTTCAGTGAGCTGACGAAACGACCGTCCAGTGCTTCCAGGTTTTCTGTGGTGGTCTAGCTTCAATTGACTCATGATTTCAATCTGTGTACTACTTGTTTGACAAAGATTAAAATTTTTCAATCAATGAAATGAATAGGTTTTATAATTCATTTATTAATAAGAATTAGTAACTGTCTAGTTTTATACTAGTATTTATACTGACAGACCGCCGAATAGTAATCAGTGAGGTCTTTATCTAATTCTTATTACTGATTAAATTCTTCCAATCTAGTTGTAATATACTATTTAGTATAATTGACTCGATATTCGGTGATCTGTTTTGATTTTGTGTGATTGGAACTAATGGGTTAGGATGTTGTGATCCAAAGAGCTCAATATTAATGTACTTTACTGTATGACTCTGGGTGATACAGGTATGAATCCGGTGAAGAGGATGAATTCCTATATGATTGTAGACATGTCTTACTGACGAGTGTTTACTAACACAAAAGCGATACTTTTGGGTTCCAGTCTTAAGTAAAAATCTATATATTTTGGGTAATATATGACTCACTTCAGGATCCCATGACAGATTATCTTCTGGTCCACCTTTCAATTTAATAAGAGCGTCTATTTCTGCTTGCTCTTCAACTGTTTTCATTTTAAACTACAATAAACTTGTATAATAAAATTAAAGAATGTGTAATATATTGTTCATAAATATTTCAATTGAGTAATAATTAGTATACGAACGTTTGCAGAGATTGTAATATTTTCGCGGTTCACATCACGTGTCATTCTTAGCTACGTCATTACTGAAAATCTGGAGACCCTAAACAACCATTTCATCTTACTATGGGACTACGCAGCAGTGCGTATCCATAAACCCACTGTCAGGGATCAAACCTAAGACCTCTGGCCTGCATGTAAACACTTAGCCTCTAGACCATTGAGTAAGAATACAGCAATGTTGATGTTCAACTCTATTCGATTCACGATGTTGCGCAACCTTCATTCATTGCCTGTGGCGGATAACTGTTTCATATCCAACATATCTGAACTCCACTGGTCATTGCTTCTCATCAGAACTGCAAGAATTGCATTTTGAAGCTAGTCACTAATGAGCACATAATTACCACTAGTAAATAGGGTTTTGTGAAGAGTGCGGAAATTTCATAGTCTAAATCATGAACTGATCAGTTAACAAAAAGAGTTCAGAAAATAGAATGGTATAGAAAGAAGCCGAATAAAGTTTTTACAAACATAGATCATTTTTATACAGGAGTTGATGATTTGATGAGTGAACTTTGCAACTGTTTAAATGGATGCTAATCAATATGCAGTGATACGAAGTCAAGTGGTGACTATTCACCGGACCGTATTATTGGCAAATGCCCTTTAGAATGATTTGAGACAAAAGACAAAACTATCAGTCAGAAGAAAAAATGTTTATGTAGCAAAATGATATTCCTTTATTCAAATACTGACCGAAAATAAACACGATAAAGCGTCATGGACGACTGGAAAAAATCACTTTTGTAGGTTACTTGCTCCCCAATCAAATAAGACTTGACTATTGGAGCCCACATCTTGGACATCGTAACAATAGTTGTAAAAACAAAATTAATAATAATAATAATAATGATAATAATAATAATAATAATAATATCCATAAATACTTATTTCAAGTTAGTATGAATGCCGTGTCCATGAACGAATTCTAAAATCTAATGGTTAATTTACATGCAAAACAGCCGAAATCGATAAACAAGACATCATATATTCAAAAGTACGTTTATATTGATGGGAAACAAAATAAAGGAAACTAAAATAATCGAACTGTGAAGTGCTTAAGAGTTAGTTATGTAGTCAAGAGCATAATCGAAAAGAAAGTAAGTGAATAAACAAAAAGTTATAAATGATTGATCATTGAATAGTAACCAGTTCCATGTTTTCAATGCTTTCTTTAGTGTCGATCGAATACTATAGATCAAGTTGCAACGTGGATACTAGTCGAAGTCACTTGAAATTGCGAGTAGTAAAATGTTATGCTAGCTGGTTGGAAGTAATCGACAGAAAATCCGGGACACTGACTTCGTGAAACTTTTCAGCAAGGCGTATCTGCAATCTTACTGGAAATAGTGCTCCCTGTAGGATATGAACATGCGTCACCCAGCTTCACAGTTTGAGACGTTACCATCGAGGCATACATGCCGTGGCTGACCAACATATATGACAGATATTTACAACTGACTAATTATTGAGTAGTAGCTATCCCAATTAGCGCGAAACTTATATCCAAAGTATCCTGACAACTACCTCCAACCTCTTATCAGATAAAATTACAGCACATAATAAGAATCAGGAAATGGTGTATACTTCTGTTCAGGATGATTATCATCGAGAACGAGTTAATTGTCACCTTTTGGAAATACACAGTCTCAAAGAGCGACGTGCATGATTGCAGACTGAGGAAGAAGTAAATGAAGGTATAAGAATGAATTATCACTTGGTAATAGAACAATCTGCATAAAAGTTGTTCCTTTCGAATATATTATTAAGACTCTTGTAGCTACAAATTCCCTCTTTTATCTTCTCGATTTCTCGGTGTTCGTTTAAACTTGTTCTGGCATTATTAGATAGTTGTCCTTTTATACTATCGAGTAGTGTTGCAATTTGAATTGCAATAATTCCGTTAAAACTATCACGTTCTTCTATCTTGTGAATCCTCCTGTGAATATATGTTTATCAAGGCGCATAAACATGTCACGGGATGCCATAATTCATAGGGCTTTATTGCTATACCAATCGAATTATAGGAACTATTCTGATAAATTTTCATGAGGAATGTATACAGGTAGTAGACGTTAAGTTTGGGTTTTTATGCTCAAATTACAAACTGCGAATAATATACGATACGGACCATTGATTTTGTTCTTCGACAGTGGTGTGATAGTGTTTATGGTTATTATTATAGTATATATTATAGTATTATTGTAGTATATTATTTCCACTTTAATGTTGCGTTAGCCTTAAAACCCTTATGAAGATTATACTCGAGATAATGGAATTTTTTGATAAATTTGCTAGAGGCGCAACACGCATGTCTTATTACAAGCTGCTATGTTAAAAATGACTATAAATATGATCATACAGATGTAATGAATAGAATTGTGAAGGAAAAAACTTCGTCACTGAACTGCCTTTATTCTGCTGAATGACCCAATCGGCTTCTTTTGTCATCCATCTAGCATTTACGAAGAGTATCTTTCGAAATTCTGAAGGCCACTATGATTTTGTAATGGCTACTGAGTCGACTTACCTATGGCCGTTATGTGAGGAAAATAATTAGTGAATATCATTTGTGTAATGAAAAAAGTCTCTTATCGAACCGATGGCTTTGCTATTGTTATGTCCGATAGAAATGCGACCAACCACCATATAACTTTAGCTAATGAGAATTAGGGTAAATCAGTCCTGTCTTCATAATGCTTGCCGTTTGTTTCATCTAAGCTTTTATTCTTCCAAACATAGCGAGAAGTCTCTATCATTTGAGCTCCTCGGTAAACGCTGTCATTCTACGTTTTATCGTCTTCACATTGTCGCGGAGCTAACTCCAAACGACCACCTTGTATTTCTCAAATGAGGAATCCCAGAGAGCTACGCTCAATGAGTAAAGACTCCGAACATATGTAACGACTCATTCATGGATCAGAAACTTGTAGTAATCAATGTTGAATGTACAGAGATACTGGTGTGATGCACCTAGGTTGTAGTCTTCATGGTCTTTATGGAAGCTGTAGATATACTTAAAGAGCTATTTTTCAGTACTTTGCTTCTATAAACAGCCTTTAACGTTTCATAACTTTTCCGAGTTTTTTTACAGGTTTTGTTTAAAATTTAATGTTGAGTGGTCAGTGTATTTACTGGACAGACTAGCAGACATAATCTCTCAAAATTTAATGCTTCCATTGATAACACTAACACAGAACATACTCAATTACCGTTCAAAGTATTGTTATTAATACTTCACACGATAAATGAGTACTTGTTTAACATATTTGATCAGTTAGAAAAAGGAGTTTAAATATGTCAGACTATTTCAAGATTACTCTTATATATAAAAAAATTAATTAAAACATCATACAACATGATAGATCAGTTTGTCAAAATCCACATCCTACTATCGCTAATTTAAAAGTGTTGTGCAAATTATTTTCCCGTTTTACGAATAGAAACACATCACGACTAATGTTGTAAGACAAAATAAAACAGTTCTATTATTTTAAGATTTCGACAATAACATGAACATGATAAATGGTTAGGTGGTTTCTAGTATATGGGTTATGGAGATTATTAAGTTTTTGATTGAGATCATGAGCCGATTGATGTTAGACCACCTTTGGAAACCTGGAAGCACTGGACGGCCGTTTTGTCCTACTGTGGGACTCCTCAGCAGCGCGCATCCACGATCTCGCTCGCGAAATTTCGTGGATTGGTTGATGTTAGACACTATCACCATTGGATGCCGGCTCAGTGGTCCAGTAGGTTAAGCGTTCGCGCGCGAGTCTGAAGGCCCTGGTTTCGAATCGTGCGAGCGGGATCGTAGGTGCGCACTGGTGTTAGGTGGTTTGCTGATGTGTTTATAGAAACGATCCAGATGTAAAAAGTTAAAGAGCATATTACTTACACTGTCCAGTAAATACATTAATCAACATCAGAAATACTTACTTAATCTGATATCAACAGAATAATGAAGAACATACTAATTTCAAAAAGAACAAATCAATAATTAACAAGCGCTATACTACTATCGATCACTTTATTTAAATTATTTTTATAGCCTTAGACGGGGGCTTTACTTTTTAACTTCGACAAAATCTGTTTCTGTTTATCTTTTCATAAATCATGCAGCAGAAAATAAGACAAAGCGTAATTACTGGTCACTGAATATCGACTGGTATCATTCTCCTAATCTAATAGATTTAAAATCAAATTAATATCATTGAAACTAGTCTGTCAAGCATCTTGATAATTTCTTCTCATAGGACTGATACTTAGTAACTTTTGTCGGTACATATTAATTGGTAGGTTCGGTGTTTAATATAACTGACTGATATGACAGTCAGACACCGATAGCCCAAATGTGTACATAGATATCATTACTACTGGAATAAATGTTTGAATTTCGACTAAACTTTCATATAGCAAGTCGACACTGTATTTTGAAGGGGGCTGATATCGAAAAGTTGATATAGGCTAACCTAAATCAACAGAACATCAATTGCCCATTCACTTTTCTCAAATATAAGTATTTCACTAGATGAAACAAAGATGATTGATGTTTAAAAGTACAGCCATTTCTGACCTGCAATATATTTTATGACGTTCACAATTTTAGCAGAGTCAGTCCGTCATCAACAACGTAGAACTTCGTACGTACGTACGTACATCAGTTCGAATTGCTATACCAAATTTGCACAGAAATGCAGTTGTCGATTCAAACCCCATAGTAGTAGAGGTAGTGAAAGTATAAACAGTGATCGTAAAGATTAAGGTTCGAAGACGCTATTCAGGGAGTATAATCCAGTGAAATAAATTTGGAAAGAGAAAAAAGAAAGGAACATGAAGAACTCAGAAGATTAGAATTTAGGAGAGCACAAAGAAAGGATGCACCTGCACTATTGCAAACGATTTTGAGACATGTCATTCAACGTCTCTAATCATTAGTTGCTATCGTCTCGTGGATCCCAACCAGGTAGTTTACACCTACCAGCATGACTCAGTCCACTTGTCAGTGACTTCATAGACTTGTGCCATGTTTTAGTCTGGCCGCCTCTAGCTTTCTTCCAACCTACTCCAACACCATAAAACATCGCTCGTCGGTGGTTGGGCATACGTACACGTGTTCCAGCCATCTCAACTGAAATCTCAGTAGTATGGGGGTTGTGAAGAATATTACGTTTTTGATTGAAGTCTCAGTACTTCATCAATTGATTTGCCATCCTTACCTAGTACCCGTTTCCTAACAACTGCATTACTTACTCGGTGGTCCCAGGATATACGAGCAATGCTTCGAAGACATCTAAGATTAAATACTAGTGACCTACGAATATCTTCTACTCTTACTGGCCATGTTTCACTGCGATAAAGTAGGACGGAACGAACTGCTGTGCCGTAAACCCGTCCTTTGGTTGGTAGACGGATATCTCGCCTACGCCATAAGTCAAGCAAGTTGGCAAAAGCTAGTTCAGCCTTCTGTATCCGTGCTGAGACTCCCAAGATAAGTGTAGCGGTCGACACGCTCAACTACTTCACTCCCTATCATTAGTTCAGGTGTCGATGCAACCCAATCCTGAAGCAAAATTTTGCATTTCGAGGGAGAGAATGGCATGCCGAACATGCTTGCATTGTTGCTTAGAGTGGTCAGAAGACTGCAGTTTGTCAGCATCTTCACCAAATAGGATTGTCATCAGCATATTATAAGTCAACAAATGAATCTCTCGGCAGAATTTCAACCCCTGGAAATTTAGATGGGGAAAGTGTCATCTCTAAAAGCACGTCAATGACAGAGTTAAACAAGAATGGAGACAGTGGACAGCCCTGACGAATTCTGATGACAGTCCACCATAAGCTCTCACTCTACCAGTTGTGTTTGAGTAGAGAGCCTTTATAAGGTTAATGTACTTCTTTGGTACTCCTTTCAGTGACAAACACTGCCATAGAACCTTACGATCGACAGAGTCGAATGCTGCTTTAAGGTCGAGAAATACTACAATTGTGGGGCGTCTGAACGTGTGTCTGTGTTCTAGGACCTGACGTAGTGTGAATATGTGGTCTATACAACCACGTCCAGGTCGAAGCCCAGCCTGATTTTCTCTAGTCTGCTCTTCACGAGCTTTGGTTAGGCGTCGAAGTATTATTGAAGCTAATATTTTAGACACTATATTTGTCAAACTGATTACTCTGTGACTGTCACAAGAGGACTTTTGTCCTTTCTTATAGACTGGCACAATCAGTGATTGAGACCAGTCAGATGGCATTACGTCCAGTTCCCAAATTCTACCTAAGACCTCAGTTAATCTTACTGCTAATACTGGACCACCATCCTTAAAAATCTTAGGAGTAAAACTGTCAGGGCCTGCTGCTCTCTCTCTCGATTCAGATTTCCTATAGCTTTTTCAACTTCGTAAAGAGTCGGAGGACTTACATTAACTTGCAATTCAGTTTGACTGGAGATCGTGGGAAACCGAAATGTGGCTGAAGGCCAGTTGAACTGATCCCTAAAGTGTTCTACCCATCGATCCAATCTCCTGGATTGGGAATGTCCATCTTTCTCTGAGATTGTTTCGCTAACAGTTGGGTAACTAATACCGGTTTCCTTAACAAGTCTGAACAGTTGCCTGTTATTACCTATTGCCGCTGTCTTTTCCATCCCTCTTGCTTTCACTACCCACCACTGTTCATGGTCATTGCGTAGGCTTCTTGTCAGTTTGCGCTTAAGCTGACTCCGCCCTTCGTTATGTTCAGAGCCAGATGGGATGAGTTTTTGAGCGTCTATCAGTGCGGTAGATGCTGCTGATATCCAGTATTTCTCCCTAACCTTATCGTTTACCTTACTAGCAGATATCACTGCCATTTCCACAGCTTTTCGGATATCATTCCACGCTACCTCGAGGTGGGCATCACTTACATGGCTGCCTAGCTGCTTTTCTAGTTGCTCCGGAAATATATTCTTAGTTTGACCATCATTAAGTAAGACCCTAAGAGGTTTCATGCAACGTCTTTCCTACGTCCAGTAAGACGCAGACAAATACGCGCTCGCACTAGAGCATGATCCGAATTTAAGCATGTGCTCCAGAATGAGCGACGGTCTTTTATAAAGCCCCTCCATCGGTGGCTGATAGAGATGTGATCTATTTGGGTCCAATGTTGGGACGAATCCGGGGATCGCCATGTCAAAAGATGTTTTTCCTTATTCTTAAAGTTAGTATTTGCAAGAAAGAGGCGGTTTTCTGAGCATAGCTGCAACATTATTATCTGTTCTTTGAGCCACGTCACCATAAGATCCACTTAGGTGTCTTTCCTTTTCACTTAGTTTACCTGCCTGAGGATTAAGGTCACTAGCCACTATGACTACATCGGAGTGCCTAACTTTTTGGAGGAGGCCGGAAAGCTTTCTGTAAAACTCATCTTTTACCTCATCTGAACTGCATTCAGTAGAACAATATGCAGAGACGACGAAGAGGCAACGACGAGTGTCCCTATCTTTCTGAGTCCTTACTGTTCCGTTTAGTCGGACAGAGCACAAACGACTGTCTACTGGGATCCAGTCTAACAGAGCTAGTTCTGCCCTAGGGCTCAATGCTATATCTATACCAGCGAGGCAACGAGAAGCAGCATCAGGGCTTCTAGATACATGAAGCGTGAATCCAGTTGGTTCTTTACTTTAATATGGTGAGGTCAAATGAATAACGCTACTCGGAGCCCGTATGCTCGTTTCAGAGACGCAGCACACATCGATGGCTAAGGAAGCCTGTTGTCCTATTTGACACAGTGTTCGGACGTTAAAAGCTCCTATGTGTAGTTTAGAGCGTGATTTCAGGAGACCAGGAAGAACGTTCCGCGTACTCGAATCGTTTGCCCTAGCGATGCGAGGTGATAAAGGAACGGGAGAAATGTTAGCCATGCAGATTAAAGAGTTTTTAGGATGTGTATGACGGATTTGATCGTGACCAACTTGGTCTCATGTGCCGTTACTGGTATAAGGGCTGATGTCAATTCCCGGCTGCCCACATCGTGGAAAGGAACCTGAAAAGGAAATCGGATTAATGTTGGCCTTAACGACCTGCGAGCGTGACCGCGGAGCCCAAGGGACAACTGCTTGAGGCCGATCGCGCACGGCCTTTTCATGGGAGGCTTTTAATGTGTCAGTTCCGTTCTTCAAAATGCCTTACAGCCGAAGACGGAAATCCATGAGGTAAAGTGAGGTGTGACATTCTTAGGGTCGAACTTTTTTAACCCTTCCTTCCTTGTGAGAAGGCAGCGTCGCTTCGGATTCTGGTTGTCCGAGGGAAACACCTTACTGCTGTCACACCCTCTACATTCAGCAGTACGACTTTTGCATGGAACAGGACATAGTCCTGTTTGGTTTATTTATTTATTTAAACATATAAACATTGGTACGAGGAGGCACCAAATAGGTATGTGCCACATAAATCACTCGATTTGCGTGAGGGCTGGGATACTAACCGGGTTCCAAAACCGAAGCAGGTGGTTTTCTTAGAGGGCCAGATCCGGAGTCTGCAACCTAAAAGTCTGAACCACAGAGCAGTGGAGCAACGTCAGGAGATGCACTCCCTTGGTAGCCGGTGACCAACAATAGGTTCATACGCCATTTATTCTTTCAGGATACTGGAGCCCATGTGCACTATTGCTTTGGAATCAGGGTTTTCCAACTCCCCTAAGTGGACTCTCCGTATCTACCAACCTGGTTAAAGCGCCGGATATTCGCTTTTTGTCCTCTCAATTTCGTAAACAACAGCAAAGCCGCGAGAAGTCAGTGAGTAGGACTTCCCTGTCAGTGGTTGCATGGACGTGTCCATCTGAGAGTACTTCGAAAACGAGAGCTGACTCTCTCCACTCTCAACCGTACCAGGGCATTTGGTGATGCTGATAAAACGTCATTCCACGACGTCTACCAACATCATGGAATGAGTCGATAGTTGTCCCTATCTTTAAAAAGGGTTCACGTCGTTCCTGTAACAACTATAGGG